GCCTCCCCCCACACCTCCAGGACAGGGTGGGTGTGGCAGGCCAGCTGGACAGGTTCAGTGTCACTGGACCCCACAAAGGGCTGCGTTAAGCCCACTGTGCCAGCCAACCGTTAGGGACGCCAGCATGCCCCACCTGGACACTCCAGGCTGCACCCAGTGCTGCCCAGCAGGCCGCCTGCTGGTGAGTTTCAGGTCACACCTCCACACACACACCCGCAGGCCGCTCTGGGGAAAGGGCCTGAATTGGAGGCAGATGGTTTTGAAGATTTGTGGCTGTTTCTGCCAGAACAAAAGGATCTTACAGACTGAAGTCAGCTCTGGACCTTGTCAGCACCCGCCTCCCCCCCAGCGGGGTAACCGCCACCCAGACCCCGAGGTTCATGTCTGGACAAGTCCCCGAGGCCGCGTGACTCCCCAGCAGCACAGCGTAGTGCAAAACGATAAAGTTTTATTTGTTCACAGTTAAACACAAGCAACTGCCTTGACGTCTGAGAACATCCCAAGGACAGCAAACCCTTTGGATTCCAGTCCCACTCGCTGCCTTGTTCCTGCTCCCGCAGTTCGCGTGGACGGCGTCAGATGCGGATTGTGTGACATGCTTTTAATCGAGGCGGGAAGGTTTAACCCTTTTGACGAGAGATGACTTTTAAAATGTAACTAAAAGCAGTCAGTTTAAAAACCCATTTGCAGTGATGAGACCCTTCTTCCTCCCTGGAGGCCAGCCGCGCGCACTGGACCAGGACTGAGCTACAGAACGAGGTCTGGTCGGCCAGGCTGCTCCTCCGTCGGTGTCTGCGGTCCACGGCGTCTCGGAAGCGATCCCTGGGCCTTCCTAGAGCCACGTGCCCGGCTGCCTCCTGAGCCAGAGCGCCCACTGCAGAGGCTCAGGGCGTCCCTGGGAGACCCTCCCAACGGGCCAGAGCAGGGACATTTCTGTGTCCCTGGGAGAGGAGGGGAGCAAGGGGAGGGAGAGGAGGGGAAGGGGAGAACGCGCCTCTGCCTTCATCAACTCCTTTCAAGGCCAAAGCAGGTGTGGGCGCAGGTACTCGACTGTCCCAGGCAGGTGTCCCGTGTCCCTCCAGCCGCGCGCTCGGGCGAGCGGTAAGGACTGCAGATGGCTCGGAAAGGGCGGACACACGCTCTCCCTGGCACATCCGAGTCATGGTGGAGACAGGAGCCACCTGGGGACAAGGGTCACAGCAGCAGCTGGGGCCAGGCCCGGACCTCAGGTTCCTTCACGCTGGAGAAAAGCTTAAAAACAGACACACACACCTCCTCAGGCCGGATTCACCGACCAATGCTCACTGCGGTCGGTTTTCAAGCCCGTGCCGCAAGGAGTGGACTGCAGCAGAGACGAGATCTGGGTCAGCCGCTCCCCCCACAGGACACACTCCTGGGTGGGGCTGAGCTGCTCCAGGGACCCCTCCTGTACACAAGGCGGCAGCCCGCAGCCTGCACGGCCTCCAACCCTCCTTAAACCGGCCACACTCCCCCCTCCCAGCGCTCGCACTCAGGAAGACGGGGCAGCACCTTCTTTCGTTGGTTCTACGGTATTTCCTGCCAGCGGCCTGCTCCGGTGTTTGGTGCACTCGCCCTGGGCAGTCTGTCCGCGTCTCCGCCCCGCTCACACCCTCTCCTTGCCACCAGCACGCCACCCGCCACCCCTGGCCTACGCAGCGGCTCCGTCTTTCTCGACAGCAACACCAGGAACCCGTGCTGCTGCCAACGGGCCGCCTGGGCGTGGAGCTGTGGCTGCTGCCCCGCTGTCAGTGATTCCTGGGACCTGGTCCTGGACCGTAACAGCTCACCTTCCAACGACCATTTCCCCCGTCAGGCCTACACATATTCCGGCTCACAGAGCACCTATCGCTTCTCTCCACTCACAGCCTAGCAAGGACCGTCAGCAGCTCATTCCCAAAGGTCTGGCAGTTTTCTCTCCTGAAAAATGCTGACAGGCCCAGGGAGGTCACGTCCACCTACCGCCTCACAAAGCTGGCCCCCGTCTCCAAGGAGAAGCCTAAGACCTCCCCGCCAGGCACGGCTCCCACTGCCTGTACACTTGGGCAGCTTCCCCTCATGCCAGTGCTGCTGCCAACCCCACAGTAAGTGTTCCTACATGTCGGCAGGACCTTGTCAAAGCCTTTTAAGCCCATAGCTTCGCGTCTGCCACAGAACCTTGTGCTGAGTGACCTGCCGCGGATTCAGGGGCGACTGCCCGTGGGGACCATGCTGCTGTCTCCCCGACTCCCCAGGGGTCCTGTAGTGCGGTCCCCTCAGGCCTGTGCCGCGGGATCAGTGTCGGGGGGACCAGGACATGACAGAGCTCAGGCAGCGTGCCCGGTGACGGGACGGAGGCCCCTCCCCAGGCTGCCCGAGGCTGGCCTCCTGCCCTGGAGGGTGCTCGGCGTCAGGCCGCCTGCTGCCTCTTGCAGGTTTATCTGTTCCAAACCCCACAGAACTGACGACGGAGGCCTCTGCAACACAAAAGCCTGTGTTCCTTGGCTGGGTCACTTCCACGTGGCTCCAGGACTCAACCCGTAGCCTCGGATGAATGAAACCCACGGCCCCACAACCGAGGGTCAGGGCGCAGCTCCTCGGGCTCAGGGCGGCTGTAAAGCTGGGCAGGCAGACACCGGGCAGGAGGGTCATGCCAGGGGCGGCACAGAGACCTCCGTGGAGCCTCAGCCCCTTCACCACGCTGCCTCCGCCTCCCTGCCCTTCACAATCTGCCACTTTTATAACGGTTCTCCTTCCTTCCCCTGCGCCTCCTCGCCCCGCCAGCCAGTGGGGGAAACGCAGTGACAGGCGACTGGTGTCCCCATCTCCTGAGCGTGGGCGGGACAAGCATTCAGGACGGGTCTTGGGATTGTCCAGCTACCCTGCGGCTCTGCTCTCCTCGGAGGCTGAGCCAGGCACTGGCATGTCCTGGATGTCCAGTTCCTCGGGGCACCAGATAAACAGGTGGTGCCGGGCCCGCCAGCCTCTGCCAGGCCGGGGCCAGGCAGTCACGCCCACAGACCCTGTCCCGAGAGGCCAGCTCACAGCACAGGACGCGGGCCTCACCGCCCAGCCCCTTGCGGAGGGAGCCAGGGCATCCACTGCCTCTGACAGAACTCCCCCTCCCACGCAGGGGTGCCTTTCCCATCTGTGGCGGACTGCGACTCCGGCACAGAAAGCAGCAGTGCCTCCCCCCTCCAGCCCCACCCCCACCACTGGACACCACGCAAGAATTCTCAGGCTTCCGGAGTTTATTTCAGGCGCATCTGCCCAGTTCTGCTCTGCTAGCCAGCACTCTCTGGCCGGTGCCCCTGCCCTGAGCACATGGCGGCCGGGGTCCCCGAACCGGTGTAAAAGCTGTCACCTTTTTGGTGGCCTAGAACCTACGTGGTGAGGAGCTCTGAAGCCTGAGAAACAAGGTCACGTGGGCTGAGGCAGCTCTGGGCCCATCAGAGCCGTCCTGCTGCAGCGCCACAGGGCAGCTGACACAGAGGTGCCAGGACACACGGACGGACAGCCACCCAGGCTCTGCCAGCACAGCCCTGTCTGGAGGGCGGCTCCTCCCCACCACCCTTCCGCCTGCAGACAGCAGGCATGCCCACACCAGCCGTGGTCAGACCAGTACCAGCTTTCAAGCAAACACCAAATAAATAAGAGGTAGTGGGGAAGGGGACAGAGCGTCCCAAAGGGCACCCGGTCCCCATAGCGCCAGCTCCGACTTTCCAACCAACCTTTGTTCACACAGAACCTTCTAGGAAGCTTATCAGAACCGCCAGGACGGAAGGGGACTGAACCGTTATTCTTAACCCACTGATTTAGATGCTGAACTTCAGAACCAAAACCAGCAAAAAAGACGTCAGCTTACACACTGCCTGCCACCTGGCGAGGGCGAGCAGCAGGTTCCCTGGTGCCACCTGCCCCCTGGCTAACGGCGCGGCCCAGCTCCCCGGGCTTCAGGGAGGAGTGGTGTTAGAGATTTGGCCTCATATTGCACTGGTTCAAAGGACACAACCTTGTGGGGAGGAAGAAAACCAAGCGGTGAGGAATGCAAACTGGCCCTCGGTTAGTACACACTGCGAGGTCAATGGGGGAGGCGGGAGGGAAGAGGCATTTCAACGCCAGATCCAAAACCGTTCTGCATTCAGGCAGCTGTCAAAAGGCCTCCATCCCACTTCCGCCCTGAGCCGGCCTCTCACGCCCTGGGAGCAGCAACCTTGGACACACCCACCCTCCTGTCTACGTCTAAGGAGTTAACACTGATTGGCCGCCAGCTTAGCTGTGCTCCTGGTGAGCCTCGTTGTAGTCCATGATGCGGAGCTGTCCGACACTGTCCGGGCTGGGAGGTGCTGGGCGTGGGCCATCGGGGCTCAGGGGGGTCTTGGCCTCCATGCCCATGTCCACGCCCGTCTTGAGCGTCTCAGAAAGGCTGCTGATGGTCACCCCGTCCTCATCGCACTGGCTCTCGCTCTTGTTCCGAAATAGCTCTCGTGCCTTCATGCCCAGGAAGCTTTTGGAACTCGGAAGGGAGCCCACCGTTGTGGGGATGCTGGTGGAGGGCTCGCCCGTGGTGGTCTCCCAGCGGCTGCTGAACGGGCCTGCCCTCTGGGTCGGGGGCTTCTCGGGTGTGGCCAGCTGGCTGCTGCTGCTGCTGCTGCTGCTGCTGCCCCCGCCGCCTCTGCCTCCGCCGCCCCGGGTGCTGCCAGTTCGGGGGGGCCTGGTCTCCCCGTTGTGGCCAGACACTGTGTCGCTGTGCCCTCTCACAGGATCCGAGCAGCTGTCGTTGCAGCAGTCCAGCCTGCAATGGAGCGGGGAGACAACAGCATTGGTGACTGTGGGTCCGTGTCTGGGAGGTGGGGGCTCACACTGACATCAAACTCTGCCAATCGCTCGGCATTTATAACGGGCTCAAGTGCGGCTCTCACTGGGGACACCCAAGCCACAGCAGGCACATTAGATGCAGCCTCAAGCATGGGCGCTTCCTGTGCGCATCAGCGACGGGGGCCCAGGAAAGGGACAGGGAGAGGCCGCAGGGTGTCCTGAGGACGGGGCGTGGGGGGCTCTGGAACGCACGTGCCACGTGCGGGAATCGCTGCCAACGCTCGCCGCGCAGCCCCTGCTCCTACCTTTCTTCTGCTGCTTCTGCTGCTTCTGGTTTTTCAACTTCAAGTTTTTTCAGGAGGCCATCTTTCTCCAGCCTGCCGTACAAGTCTAAGACCTCCAGCTCAAACACCTGGGTGATCCGTTTCTGAGCCTCATACCTGCTCTCCGCAGCCTGCAGCTGGCCTCTGAAAGACAAAGCGGCCACGTGGGAACCCAGCCACTCACGTGCCCGCGACCCCTCCCATGCGCTCGCGGAGCTACCTGGCCTGGAGTTTGACGTCCTCCAAGTACTTCTTCTGCTCCACGAGAAGGTGGTCTTTCTTGGCCAACTGAGCTTCCAGCTCCAAAACCCGCCTCTGGGAGGTGTCGAGCCGCTGGCTCTGCTGGAGCGCGTGGCTCCTGTGCTTCTCCAGCTCCTTCCGATACGCAGCCTTCATCACCTCCACTTCCTAGGAGAGGGGCCGAGTCACCACGCAGCCGCCTGGCGCAGCCACAGTAGGAGGACTGAGGGCGCACAGAACCGCAGGCAGCGCCTCAGGGGCCACTTCCTCTGCCCTTCCCCCAGGACCTGGCAGGGGGCCTCTGAGTAAACTCTTCAGAGGTTTTCTTATCCTGTAGGTTCCCCTTTCTTTTCCCAAAGCCATTATACTTCCCAGTAAGTGGGAGCCAGTATCTAGATCAGTTTGAATTTATATTAGTTTACACAAACACTCCATCCATGCTTTTGTTCCGGCCCTCCGGTCCAGTTTAAGAACCCATTGTGGCCCTCGAGTCAAAAAGTCTGCCCACCCCTGATCTAGATGAACTCCCGCATGACCTTCCCTCCGAAGGAGCCTGGTACCTGCGGGCTGCGGGCTCAGGAGCAGCCCTGGGCTAAAGACCAGCCTCTGGGTCTGAGCCGCTCAGAGCGCAGTGGTGGGAACGTGTGTGATGGAGACGCGGTGACAGGAAACACCTGAGCGTGTACTATCAATCCCCACTCCCAGCTCGCTCACTAACATTACCCTGGCCTGTTTACACAGGCACGAAAGTGTCCCAGCACCACTGGCGAGGCACTGATTAAAACCAGCCTGCCCCTGGCCTCACCACCAGGACTGAGCCCCCACCTGCTGAAACTAAACTCAACACTAAAAGGAAGGAGAACACGCACAGCAGTCCGCACGCTCGGTCCTGAGCGCTCCATTACACAGACCCGGCTTCCCCCGCCCCGCCCTGCCCCTCCCTCCAGGACAGGGGCCTGGATGAGAGAAGGGAAACATCGATCACCTGCTCGGTACCCACTACCGTCAGGAGCTTGCACGGACACCTGACTTAATTTCAAAGTAACCCAATGGGGAAGCAGGCTTGTGAGATGCTGAGAAGTGCTTGTGTGGCCAGGCCAGGGAGAGGTGGGGACGGACACCAGGACCGTAGCGCCATTTGGGGAAACGAATCACAAAGCCACTCTGTGACCAGTGAGGGCCTGCCCCCGCCCGCCCCGCATCCCCGGCCCACCTTGGTGGTGTCCGAGTGCTTGTTCTGCAGCTGCTCCAAGTACAGCTCGTTGACCTCCCCGAGCACCAGCAGTTGCCTGTTGAGGAACTCCATCTGCTGCTGGACCGACTCGCTATTGGAGAGCTGGCCAAACACATGAACAGGCGGTGAGAGACCCACAGCGCACAGCTGGCAGGCGGCAC